AGCGATTAGGGCGCCCCCACCTCTGGATCCGCCAGTGATCGTATAACGTTATGTAGTCGAATCCGATTAATTCACTGTTTCTATCCTAAATGTGACCACCCGTCTTATGTCTAGTGTCACCCGTTAGAAAAACACAGCTTTGTTTTAACAACCGTTGCTAAAATTTACAAAAGTTGAATATAACCGACAAATAGAGCCACTGCCTCGTCGATTTCGCATTACAACTAGTTCCGTTGCAACACACCTAGTTCCGTTGCAAAGTAACTAGGTAGTTTGCAACGTACCTAGGTAGTTTGCATCCTAACTAGTTAGTTGCAAACTAACTGAACGGTCAGTTAGTTGCAACGGAACTAGTTTCGTTGCAAACTACCTGGCCGGTCAGGTAGTTTGCAACGAAACTAGTTCCGTTGCAAACTAACGAATTTCGCATACTAACTGTAAAAACAAAATGGATTCCATTTCTATTGGAGGCTTCTTTAGCAGAGCTAAACCACGTTGAGTGTTGACCTTTGGTCAAATATGAGGAATTTCCCAGAATGTACTTTAGCAGAGCTATCGAATGCAATGTTGTACAGTTTTATTGTTGCCTGTCAGGGTATACCTACACCGATTTTTGAACTAAAGTCGAACTAGGTGAAATTTGACCTTTGATGACCTCAGTGAAGACCTGATTTCGACCCGACACAAAACAGACGAAATACCTTATGATTTTTAACACCCTTTCGAACGCCGCTTATCGTTAGCCGCTGTGGTCGCAGGAGTCGAGTTGACGGACCCCTCCCCCCGCCCCCCGCACTTCCCTCAGCAGGGCAAATGCAAAAGAAAATCCAAAAGTCCCAGAGTGGCGTTGGTTAATCGCTGTACAATACTTACCACTAACACGCTTGGGCGAAGAACGAGCGAGCGAGGGAGTTGAAGCCCTGCACGTACGAAAGGGCGAAAGGGTGCTTCCCATTGGCTTGAGCACGGCGCTCTATTAGCCGGCCACTATAGCGATGTATAGGTACCAAATTTGGAGGCAATTGGCCAAACCGTACCCGAACTCTGGAAGCGGCACCCTGCACGTGCTTACTGCAAACTGGGTCCAAAGTGACTTGCACGGCACTCTACCGCTTTCGACTTTTGACTTTTGCCGGTCCCTAACCGCTTACCAAATTTGAGCGCAGTCAGCCCAGCCGCTGTTGAAATCTAGAAACGCCCCCTGCGCGTGCGCACGTGGCACGTGCAGTGGCACCCTAACATAACACATGGGAATGCAATGCCTGGTGGTTGCCTACCTACATGCCAAGTTCCAGCGAAATTGCCCCAGTAATTCCCGAGTTATTGTAATGGGAACAAATTTGACACTTTGAATTTTGCACGTTCAGTTGGAGTGACCCACACGCATCGAGAATATCCGATATTTAACAGAAGGGATGCAACTATCCTACAAAAATAACCGCAAGCCAGCGGTTGCCGAAATATATCTCTCGAAATCGCTACTTCGGCAGAACAACTTGAACACCCATAGCTTTTCACGTGGCACGCGCCACGACGGTCAACTAGATGAATCAAGAGTATTCAACTACGGGGTAGAAGGAATGGGGCTACCCAGGAAAAAGACCGCAGGTCAATCGGCCCAGCGGTTGCTGAGATGTAAGCGACCCAGCCGCTCATACTCAAATTTCTGCTATTCTACATAAGACCTCGCTCGCTCGTAATTAAAGCTCAGTGCATGCCGTCATAGCCTGGGGAAAATGGTCCAGGTTCTGATGTAAAAGCAACAGTGCACATCATTCGCAAAGTCCTTTCATTTTCGTAGCATGGCACGTGTTCTAGGCATGGTTCAATGAAATATGGCTCAGAATGTAATAGAAATGTTGGACACAATTCAGTAAAAGCAGCCAATTTCGGCAGAGTGTTTTAGTGCACCGCTAGTTAGACCGAGTGCATGTAGTTATTACGCATTCCCTGGAAAGAGGGCAAGCAGATTAAAAGATATGCAGTTCATATTCAATCATTTTAAAGCTCTGTCTATCTAGCTTCTATCTACGTAGGGTTAAAAAATTCCAAGTAGCCTTCCGCCTTTACCTTATATGATGAGCGATCGCTTGGGTCTGGGTCTGGACCCAATGTTCGTTAGACGACCTGTAGAACTTAACTTACTTTTCCAAGTAGTTATAGACGACTTACAAATGTAAAACCCAAATACCTATATCCAAGATAATAATTTGGTTAGTTTAATTTTAGTCAAAGCTGTCTACTCCAATATTTTACAGGTGACGCATCCGATCCCTGCGCCTGTCCGGCCGGCTTCAGCCGCTGTGCCGGCCGCTGTCTGAAGCGACTGGACCTGGCAGTCTTCTACCCCGAAGCGGAGAGCCAGTGCGCCGCGCTGGGCGCCCACCTGGCCGTGCCCCGCTCAGACGAGGAGAACCAGTGCGCCATAGACGCCGCCACTGATGTCGAAGTGTGGCTGGGTATCAACGACACCGTCACCGAGGGGCAGTTCGTCGGCGCCGACGGCTGCGGCACCGCGTCGTCCACCGGTCCCCAATGGGTGGAGGGGCAGCCTAACGACCTCTCCGGTCAGGACTTTGTGGTCCTGTTCCCGGTAGAACGAGGTAGCGGCTGGGCTGACGAACCAGCTTTATCACTGTATAGGCCCCTGTGTCAACTGGGGGCCTGCTATCAGCCTGGCTGCCTATGAAGTCGCTCACTGGCGAGCCCAGCGGCTAGCTGATAATTGATATGTCGTCAAGATTAGTCCCGTAAAGTGCACCGTATGAGTACTATGTAGGACTTAACGATATGATATGATGGGCTTGCTTAATGACGACAGCTTGCGTTTCATGTTTGGGCGACACAACTTTGATATTTCACCAAAGCGCTTTAGAATACCCCTGCGTCGTCGTTTGAAATGTTTGACAATTCACAGCCTCATCAGTTTAGGGTTTATTACGTCAGTGTTGTCAGTGGTGTGTGTATGGTTGCTACGTTGCAGGCTGCACTCTGGCTTATTTGATATCACGGAAAATGGCCACATTACGGTAGCTACTGAGCTTTGTTGCACTTTGCGCTAGTGCCTCCGTCTCGGACGCTTTCTTGCAATTGCTTAATAACCCTGGCTTTGCTGAGGGAGGGGGCATTACGCCAGGTTTTGTGTGCCTGTTGAGAATTATTTTTATCATGATGTAACGTTTTAAAAAAGGTTGTGTTTTATTTCCCTGACTTCACCTGTTAGTGGAGAGCTCTTGGTGACAATCGCAAATAAACAATAAACAAAAAATAAAATCAGTTCAATTTTTAGCTATCAGAGTTTAAGTGGCGTCAAAATTGCTTAGTTTTCGTCAAATAAAATGGCAAACGTTTGAGAAACAATAAAGTTAGAAGAATCGACAAACAAGCATGCCTCAAACCTCGCCGGACCTATCGGTTTTCTACATACTTTCGGCCGAGGGAGGGTGATACTACTCCCACTCTCGTCGTTTCGCCTCGAATTAAGCCAGATCGTCCCATCTAAACGTTGAACTGAAGTTGCGGTTCCAGGAGTATTTTTTTTTTTTTGTACTGAACTGTCGCAAAAAGTGACAACACTATAATGACTATAATGATCTCTCTCTCTCTCTCTCTCTCTCTCTCTCTCTCTCTCTCTCTCTCTCTCTCTCTCTCTCTCTCTCTCTCTCTCTCTCTCTCTCTCTCTCTCTCTCTCTCTCTCTCTCTCTCTCTCTTTCTCTCTTTCTCTCTTTCTCTCTCTCCCTCTCTCCCTCTCTCTCTCTCTCTCTCTCTCTCTCTCTCTCTCTCTCTCTCTCTCCCCCACTCTCTCTCTCTCTCCCCTGGACGCAAGCGTCATCTGTATTTCTATTTCAGAGAGGCGACATCTACATCAAACGCATAGTTACGGTCTACGGAACGATCGATGCTACACTGTGGCCGTTTTCACGACGGAACTTTCGCAGAGGAACTTATTTGATACCTAAAAAGTACCTACCCTTAGAGGCCTTAACATCCCTCAAACTGAAATATTTCATGTTCAAAATAATTTTAGAAGTTTAAATCGGGGCATTTTTTGCCCTCAAATCACTTATTTATTTACAAACACAGCAATTTTTGGTTCTAGTAGCCCACCTTTCGACTATGAGGTATTAAATCAGCGTGGCAACTTGCTCCCTCTTTGCTCCCTCGGGTATCTAATTCCGGAATTCTTAAAAACAAGGAAAGTATATATCGAGTTCTCTTTTATACCTATTCAGTTATGTTTTAATGGTGATTAAAATATGACAAATTTTTTAATTACATTTCATATAAGAAAACACGCAAAACAATGAAACAAAAATAACTACGGCAGATAATTACCTTCAGGTATCTAATTCCGACCAATCAGCACCTCAGTAGGATATGACGTCATGCAAGAATGGTGGTGAAGGCCGTTTGCAGTCCCGGCCGGTAGGTCACGTGACCGCCGGGCGCCTCGGGTCACGCGGCGGTCGGGAGTCGGACGCGGGGCGTGGTCGCGGGCGGACGCGCGGGGCATCATGCTTTGCTTTGCTTGCTTTGTCAACTTCATATAACTTACTATCGCATTCGTGTGAAAGCCAAACACTGCTCAGTGCCCTTAGAAATTGAGTTTTGGAAAGCTCAAGTCCCTATAGCTCCTCAGGTCGGCAACAGTTGAAGCCTCATCTGAACCCATGTGAAAAAACGAGGGTAAGGAACCTTGTGTTGCTTTTTCTTTTACCGTCATAATTATCTCAAACCATCACAATTTTGAGTTGCCACATTGTCTGCTTCACTACATTCGTGTAAAACTTGGGTGAAGGCTGGTGGCTCAAAGAAAGGTGAAGATATTTCTTTAAGTGCCTAATCCGTGAAATTGAAATATCCCGGCTTTACAAATCTACACTTTTCATTTTCTCCACGATACATTTTTTAAAATTGTTTAAATTTTATCTACATTTGTTAAAATCGGGGCTTTGGTTTTGTGTAAACTAGATCATAAAGTTTACTATAGTTTTGTGTAACCTGATGGCTGAAGAAAATAGTAATTTTGCTAAAATGATGTGCGGAAATTTGTTGCTTTCCAAATCAAATTACTCATACCTATATTTCATTCAAAATTAGGAGGCATTATTACTGTTTTTCCTTGTAACATGAACTGAGTTTGGGTACGGTGCTCCGGAAACGTTGTGGAACTTTAAGCTAGCTAGAGCAGTTTCCATAAAAATTGCTTAGATAGTTGACATGGCTTGTTGACAACTCTTTTGCTGTTTCTAAAAAAGTGGAAAAAATATTTTCCTGCATTAAGCACACAAGGCATGTTATTCTCATAAGCTATCGAATGTGTGTGTGTGTTTTTTAAGTTGTTTTTTAAGCTTTTAAGCTGTAACTTCAGTTACTTCACTTTAGAACATATTGCCCAGAATGCGTCACTGATCATGAGCTGGTATATCATATCATATGTAGCAAATACATAAATGAGAATAGTGTGTCATGAATTTTTGTGCATGCTTCTGGATCATCTGTAATTACATCAAAGGCTCGGCTCAAGAGTGTCCTGCCGACCAGCTTATGCCCAACCCTTTCTGTCCGCAGAACGTCGCCTGCGACTCCCGCACACCGTTTGCCCCGGCCGTCCGTACTGGTCTTCGCGCTGCGAGCCGCGCTGGAGTTCGCGGCGGCGTCGTGGAGCTCCCATCGGGACGGCGTGTGATGCCCGCGTCGAGCTTATAAGCCGTGAGCTTCGATTGGCGGCTCACGCGGTCACCAGCTGTATGTACAGCCTCGGCCCCGACGACCCCGCTAATGGCCGAGACCGGCATACCCCCGGCAGGGGTCCGCTGTCCGGCGCAGCGCTGGCCGCCCGCATGCTATGCTACTTTTGGCTGTATCGCTGCCCAGCGGGAGCGCGCTCCACGCTGCGGAAGAGGTACACGTTGCGACCCGACTGAGGACTGCAACCGGATGGTGACACGTCGGCCTCTGCGCCCTGGCCGGGGCAGGCGTGACCGACGTCACAGTGGAGGAACGCCCAAACAAGACCAGCCCACCGTCGGAGCAGCATGGAAATATCATGTTCTGCCTGGACGTCGGACCCGGCGGCGGCGCAGTGCACCTGCACACGTGCGGAGAGGGGCGCTGGAGGCTACTCTGGAGCTTCTGCCATTCCGCGGCGCGACTGCTGGCAAAACGGCGGCGATTGAGGCGGTTGGGAACAGCTGCAGCAATGGTGATGGCGGTGATGGCGACATGGCGGTTTGGGACTTCATCTCAGCGCGGCCGCCGCCCAGGCGCCGCTGCGCCCGGCTGCTCAGCCACCTACCGGATGGCGGGGTGGCCCTTACGGCCCTCACGCCCGTTCGGTCTGCGGCCACGTTGTGGGGTGGCGGTCGCGGGGTTAGCGGCGTTGGACTTCGTCCTTTATCCAGACTGCACCGCACCATCTGAACGGATGGATCTGCCAAGAAAGATGACATCCAAGGCGGCTATGAGGCGATCACAAAGCTTCACCAAGAGCTTCTCCTTCATGGGGCCGGCCGGCCGTTAAGTCGCAACACCGGCTGCCGAGTGCCAACAGCTGCGTGCGCTGGCGCCGACGCGTTGTGGGCCGCGCTGCTGACGCCCAAGCTGCGATATCAACCATCTATGAATAAGTGGCAGCGGTGGCGGCTTGTCAGTTGTTAACGTGCCTTAACCCGCGCCGTGCTGGGGGGGGGCGTTTTTACGCCCCCCCCCCCTCAGGTTTTTCGCGAATATCTCAAAAACGGCGGCGCGCAGCGCCGCTGTTTTTGGTACACGTGTTCCTACATCATTTCCGCACATGTTGTGAAAATTTCAGACCTAGGCCGTTCAAGGTCAGGTCACCAGGTCACGTCAAGTGACCTTACCTCAGAAAAAGTTCAAAGGCTCGCTATAGCTACACCGACTGAACGATCACTTTGAAACTTTCAGCGATTGATATGAGTAACAGTATGTATAAAATGTATATCTCGGATTTTTGATATCTGTGACCTAAGGTCAGGTCAATTTTGCGACCTCTCCATTATAAGTCAATGGGAGAAAATTGAAATGCGCCTCTTTTGGACGAATATCGTTCAAAACGCTCTCAAACATCGGTTCATAGGTAAACATGACACACTGAATAGGAAAAATGCACCTGTGACCCCTCTGTGTGCCCCTGAGGTCATCTCAGGTCATGAACGGTCGCCAGCAGTTTTTTGGCTATAACTTTTGATAGAGACGTGCTAGAGCGGTGAAAACACGTCAGATGTGTTCAGCTCGACGATACGGATCGACTGATATGCAACATGACCCTTTTCGGTCAGGTCATGACCTTGACCTGAGGTCAAATTTTCAAAATGACCTTTCAAGGTCAACAAATAGTTCATTCGACGCGTCTCGACGAGAGGAACACGATGCTGGCAAAAGTAATGTCATGGCGCTTATGAGTCAAAAGTTATTGACGAAAAAACGTTTTTCGTAAAAACGGCTATTTTTGGAGTTTTTGCCCTCTGGAGGCTAAACCGTTGACCTGAGGTCAAATCTGAGAACATTACTCAGAAAGGTCTGTAAAAGGGCTATCGAATGCGCTTTTCCGCGGCGCTGTAGCTCTATCGGTTCCCGAGATAGCCGTTGGCAGTTTCCAAAATGTTGAAATAGTCAACATTTTACCTTTGGTGACCTCTGGTGACCTGACCTTTGACCTGACCCAAA